ATGGATTATCTAGAAATCAATCAATGATGTGGTTTCATGATCTAATGTTACACAATCACTTTGTTTTACATGTTCATACAACCTGCTTTTTATACAGATTCTATAATACACATTGGTATATTGCATGGGTAAAATTCACCGAGATGTGTTGACAAACGCACCACAGCATGATCAAGATACAAGTTCTACTGCAAGAGGAAAAAATACAATCCCGCGATCGGTTTGACCCATCTGCAATGCAGCTCTCAATCTGTACACACTTCAGGGCATTTGTTGTTGAGGGCTAGCTGGAGCACTCTTCCAGAGTCATTGTCATGGGTGGATCACTAAAATAACCCATCAAGGGTTTTATCATTATCCCATATGTCCGGTAATTATACTCCACCAGCTTTACAGGCATGCTGGTGTGTACATACACAACTGTACATGGAACTATCACTGTACTTGATAATCACATTTGACACACTTTAGTCAGTCCTAGCTGCAGGTTCTCCTCTAGACCCATCATCTGTGTCCACCATTTCAGTCAGGGTGACCAGGTTCCACAACATTCCTCATAATTCTCCTCCAAAAACAGGAGGAATGGTTCTTTCACCTTATTGGCCAATCAAATGTGTCCATTTCACTTTTCAGCCAATCACAGCTGCCTTGGAAGTGTTCACTTCTTCTTCCCATCTGTTTCTTCTGTTCCTTCTCTCGTGGCCTTCTCTTCCTCTCCTGCTGTTTCTTCTCTTCAATGGCAGCTTTAAGCTCCTTGATCTTCTTCTTGAGTAGTTCACTTCATCTTTTGCCATTGGTAACCCCAAGACTCTGAAACAAACAGAGTAATCCATATAGGGAAGAGTTCTGTTTTAATCATCATCATCTATCCATTACGGTTACATTACTTATATACTTCATCAATACCCGTGAAGATCTGGGTTAGAATTGGACTCCAGCAACCCATGCTTGTCATAGTGAGGTGACTTACGGGATCAGTGCAGTCAGGCTCACTGACTTCATGGACACATATCATTATATCCCATTTGCACAGATCAATGCTCATGATGCTTGATCACTGAATTGTCTAGTCCAGTCCTGATAATTCTACAGACCACCACCATATAGCTGCAATATTGCTGAATTTAACAGCAAACAAACATAGCTAAACAGGAAAAAGATGATCACTTCAGCCCAAACAGTACTTGGATACATTGAGCAACGATTCACAAACCCGCAACAAGCAGTCAGCCAGGAAGTTCTTATGACCAATTATAGGTCACTGAGGAGCCATTCCAATACCGAATCCTTGGTACCACCTAACCTTTTGAGCTTTGAACCATCCATCTGCAGCAGCTGTGGTCCCTAGATGTTCCTGTCCTGAAGGTATCATATTGTACTTTGTCCAGTTCCAGCAGGATGAGCCAGCTTCATTACACACATGTTCGATGTCCAGTCCAGCGGGGGCACGGACTCAAACTGGTTCTGGTTACGTTTATTGGGAGCAACCATCTCCTATGAAGGTTAAATATCCATGTGAACATTTGTAGCATGTAAATGAAATACTATAAAAAAAAATTTTCTTTACACAAATTGCTTTCAGTACTTTCAGGGTATATCTCCAATATTGTACATGAGGGGACCCTTTTATTGTATTTTTAGAAGGGTATCCCTTGTAGGTTGAAAAAGATATTGCTGCTATTGTAATATGTATATGACCGTCTATAAGACGACCCCATGGATAAGACGACCCCCAAACTTGACCCTTAAAATCAGTGTCAAAATGGTATGATTCGTGCATAAGTCGATCCCCAGCGATGGGGTCCTAATCGCGACAAACACAGACCACTGGCAGTTACCAATAATTATAACTTTAGTCCACATTATTCAAAGAATTCACTGTCATATATTGTGTGTCTACTCAATGGATCTAAACGAAGTGTAGTTGACAGAAAATGCATAATATATTTTGCTTCCTCTAAATATCATATTTTATTGTAGCAACAAACTGGTTTGTTTATTTTACCCCATTCAACAATCAACAACTGATTATTACCGGCTGCTTCCATTGACTGCTAGTTAACAGTAACATCGGGTAAAAATGTGTGTGAATTTAAATGGCTTCCGTGATTTTACCCCATTCCATGTGCTTACTAATGCCTCATGAGGGTCCAGATAACCTTAGTGTTGATTATATATATTTTACATAAAAACTGTAAATAAAATTACACGAATGCTAGGATATATTTCTTTGGGTTAAATAATAGTATTCTTGTATTATATTTACTGGACGACCATGGCCAGAATTCATTCCGCTATATTATTGTGCATGTTTGAACTTGTTTTGTCGGGAAGGCACAGCTGATTGCTATTTCCGCCCAAATACACACGTAATCTTAATTAATTTATAGAGCAAAACTGTAACTTCAAAATTCACACAAATGCTAGGATATATTTCTTTGGGTTAAATAATGGCATTCCTGATTATATTTTACTGATGACATGGCCAGAATTCGGCCCCAACACGCAGACGGTAATCTTAATCCCTGCAAATAATACAATGCCCAGCAAAAACAACTTATAACTTAAAAGGTAAATAATCCTTGTCTAGTGATGTTTAATTGCAAATTTGACGCCTCTACTGACAAAGTCGCTCTTCATTGTTTGTTCACGCCGTATGATATCGATGAGCTGTTGTTTCTTTACCCCTGGAAAAGTTTGACGTAAAGCCGCAACCCATGGATAAGACGACCCCCTTCTACAGACTGCATTTTTTGGTCCTCAAAATTCGGCTTATAGACGGTCATATACGGTATGTATATCTCTGCTATCATTACCAGGATATGTCTAGTACTGCCCTTGGGATATCTATAGTCTTTCCATCAGGATATCCCCAGTATTGTCATTAGGATATCCCCAGTATTGTCATCAGGATATCCCCCAGTATTGTCATCAGGATGTCCCTGTTATTGTCATCAGGATATCACCAGGTATTGTCATCAGGAAGAATATTCTCAAGGCATTGTCATCAGGATATCCTCTGCATTGTCATCAGGAAGAATATCCCCAGCATTGTCATCAGGATACACCGTATTACAATCAAGATATCCCAAGCATTGTCACTGTGGGGACACACCCAGCATTGTCATCAGGATATCCCCCAGCATTATCAACTAGATATCCCCCAGTACTGGCTCATCAGACTATCCCAAGTACTGTCAATAGGATATCCTAAGTATTGTCCTTTGTGAATACTCTTAGTCTTTTCCATCAGGATATCCTGGGCATTTTCATCAGGATATCCCTAGTCTTGTCATTAGGATATCCCCAGTATTGTCATCAGGATATCCACAGTATTGTCATCAGGATATCCCTATAATTGTCATTAGGATATCCCCAGTATTGTCATCAGGATATTCCCAGTATTGTCATCAGGATATTCCCGGTACTATTATCAGGATATCCCTATCATTGACACTGGGATATCCCTTGTATTTACATCAGGATATCCCTACCATTTTCACAAGTATAAATCACATCCTAGGACATCAATCTGTCCACCTGTATCTACTGATATCAAGCTAGATTCAGGTTCAAATACATTAGCTATGCGTCTCCAAGATCAAAACTCTGGCATGCATAATCATCACGGGCCAACAACCAACAGAGAAGCTCAGGATTCCACACACTCCAAGCTTCTCCCTCGTGAAGTTCCTCCTCAGCTTCTCCTCATTAGTTTCAATACTTACCCTGTGGCTGGTGTCCCTGAAAATGTTGAACCTTGCTTTGACTTCCCCTCATCTTCAAGTTCAGACACCATCAACGAATTTAATTTAAATTTTCACTGGTTTCGAGCTGCTGCCACCTAGCAGAAAACATAATTCCATGAATATTGAGTCCACATCTTGGCTTCCAAACTGATCATCAAATTATTGCTTCATTCTTTTCATAATTATTACAAAATCTTCAGAAAAGAATATGCAATATATTTATATTTCTCTCTTTCATACACATGTATACTTTTAGCCATCTCGGTTTCTATCATTTCACACATAGAATTGTATTCTCCTGAACTCCCTGTGACTCAGGATTTCAAAATCCTGGAAACTTGTGCTAAAAAATATTTTGTAGAAAAATAAGAAACGAGGAGCACAAACATTCAGATACACCAGAGTCAAAACGGAAAACAAACTAATTAAATTGAAAAGTTCATATATATTTTGCTATTTCACAGGCAATCATATTTTACAAGACTAAAAGTTCAAGATTCAATATTATAAAAGTGTTCCTGTATTAGATTGAACGGGCGATGATCTCTGGAGCTGAAAAAGTCTGTTCCACCATAACGATAAAATGCAAGTTTGATTGACTGAAAGTGACATGCACATTCTACCAATAATAAAAGGATCCCTTACACTATTCATGCGAATAAACATTCAGTTAGTTCATGGAAGGGTTAACTCCTTTCCCCATAAATAAATCCCTTTATCCACTGAGAGGAAACATGCCTGACTATCTGACATTACATAAAAGTATAATTTCAACAAATAACACATATAATACATACCGTAGTTACGTAGCAATCACAACACATAGAAATAAACAATGAAAGTCGAGAGTTTATGAGAAATACAGGACAGATTCAGTTCAAGATAGAGAGGTATTATCAAACATTCCCCATTAAAACAGGAATTTGATAATTAGACTCATAAAAGATCGAAATGTTTCTAAAATTCACTTTAACTTTTGCTCATTTGACAGAACTGTGTAACTTACCCGCCGTGAATCATAAGCCTGTATCTAGGTTTTTTAGAAATGAGAGTTATCCCCCCGATCAGGGTGGCAGGACTGTCACGCGGATCGGTTAGACAGCAGCACAACCCCACTGCTGCTGAACTGCCCCCAATCGGAGGACTTGGGCTTCGAAGCCGAGAATTTAGGAAACCAAAGCCTGTACGAGAATAAGTTGTATGTCATGAGTTATATACAGGTGGGCAGGGCAGACAATCACATGCAGTTGGTGTGGTGTGGTATGGCGTTGCATTGCGTAACATAATGCGGCATGGTGTAGAGTGGCATTGTGTTGTAGGCACCTTGATGGGTTCTGGAGAGACATGCTGACACTGATAAAAACTCATAGCCATTGTGGATAAAATACTGAAATCAGGGTGTTGATACAAAAACTGAGATCAAGTGTAGATAAAAACTGAGATCAGGGGTGTAGATAAAAACTGAGATCTGGGTGTAGATAAAAACTGAAATCAGGTGGATATATACACTGAGATCAGGGTGTAGATAAAACTGAATTCAGGGTGTAGATAAAAACTGAAATCAGGTGGGATATACACTGAGATCAGGGTGTAGATAAAACTGAATTCAGGGTGTAGATAAAACTGAATTCAGGGTGTAGATAAAAACAGATCAGAGCGTGGATAAAAACTGAGATCAGGTGGGGATAAAAACTGAGATCAGAGCGTGGATAAAAACTGAGATCAGGGTGTAGATAAAAACTGAGATCAGCGTGGATAAAAACTGAAATCAGGTGGGGATAAAAACAGATCACAGCATGGATAAAAACTGAGATCAGAGCGTGGATAAAAACTGAAATCAGGGTGTAGATAAAAACTGAAATCAGGGTGTGGATAAAAACAGGTCTGAAGTGTTGTTATAAAAACTGAGATCAGGGTGTTGATAACTGAGATCAGGGTGGGCTCACATGTAGGGATGTGAACCAGGGCAGAGAGAGATGTGATATTGGTGTTGCAGTGGCTTCAAAAATGGTTGAAGGGATTAGACAGGAGTAACAAAACTGATCAGGAGATGGCAGCTGAACATTGTATATGCAGCTGAAGTGTGAACTGTAAGCTAACATGTGAGTGTGAGATGAATACAGCCTGATGAACATTAGTGTCCAATAACAGTCAATGTTAAGCAGTGTTAGGTATAATTGTACAGTAAGTCAGCGCACGGTTGGCTTACAGGGGTGAGTTGTGTGAATGTTTCGTTATCACAGTCAAAGCCACCTGAGGAGATCAAATCTGGACCAGGGAAACCACATGGCAGCAGAAGCAGCAGTCCTTATCATCTCCTCACAAAGACACAGAATATGCAAGGTCCATATTGGAACTTTCTGATCCATACATCCAACTTATTCATGAAAGAAAAGGACTGGGCATAAGTTATCCAACTTAGAAAAGCCCATCCAAGACGTATTTCAGACAAAATCTTCCCAAAGGTAAACAAAAAATTTCAACTGAAAAGATGAAAACCACTTTTTATCCTCGGAGTAAATTTATGCAATTCAGTCTTATTTTGTTAATTGTTAAACACTGCCCTCAGCAATGTGTCACCCTATGAGTGAGTGAGGAGTGAGTGAGTGAGTTTGGTTTTACGCTGCTTTTAGCAATATTCCAGCAACATCAATGACATGGGGACACACCAGAAATGGGTTTCACACATTGTACCCCAAGTGGGGAATCGAACCTGTCTTCGGGCGTGACAAGCCAACGCCACTCCATACTCAGGGCTACCCCTAATCACCTGGCCACACCTCTATGAATGAATGCACTGTAAATATATGAGTCCTAACTGAGCATGATCAAAGCCACCTTGGGCGATGACTATGCATCAACCAGTCTCTGAGCCTGTCTGATAATTTAGTCATCTTTAACAACCAGCACTGGCTGTCAAGAGGCCTATGACCAAGAATTCTGCCTGATCCTCAAGTAACACCTGATGATACAACAGCATGCTGACTGAGCCCAGCTGAATTCACTAAAATAAGTCCAGGCTGTTTTAAACCCCACTTCAGCTGAATCAACAGATAGCTGACCTGTATGGCAGGAAAGACTGGAGTCAGACAGGTCGTAGGTGTTTACTTCCATATTGAAACTGACAAGGAAGGTTGACAAATCAAGGATCAAAATCAAGACAACTCTTGGATTCAAACCAAGGTCCTGGCACTAAGGATGTACCTTAGACCACTGAGCTACCCATGTCCCCATGAATGAAATGAAGAGACAATGAAGGAAGTAAAATAACCCAACAGAATGCCCAACGACCTCAGCAGATTGTGAAAAGACGCCAAGAACGATGACTCCATAGATGACAATTTTAATAATAAACCCAGGGCCTTCGCTCCACCGTAAACTACCTTTGGCAATATGCTGTCCTAACTCATACATACTATATACCTACAATCGTATACACCAAGATATTTTTGGTGGAACGGGGCCCTGAAACGGAAGGGAAGGATATAACTGGAGTTTGTCGGAAGGATAGGGCGGCATTTGTGTGTTATTTGCTTGTTCAGATAACAATTAGTGAAAAACAATAAATTCGGAACTGGAGACTGCAGTTTGAAGAGCAAGGTAAGATGATGTTTCACAAAATCTTTCAAAAAGACACAGTAGGGCTTGTCCTAAAACTAATTACCATATTAACAGAAGAGAAACATTCTGGGCAGAAAATGATTACTTAATAATTTTTGTTGTCTGCAATCAGAATTATTCAAATAGGAACCAAAATGCAAATACTTTTTAATCCTGAAGATTTTGTTTTTAACATATGTGTATCGATAAATGGGGACTTAGTTTATAGGAAAGATCAAGACTCGGGCTGAGTCTTGTCCAACTGCAGCCTTAAGTTGTGAAAGTACTGTTCTTCATGTGGTGCTTATCTTGACATTGAAAGCTTGTCTCTAGGAAACAATCATAAACCTGTTAGTACATTTGTTACAAGTGTCTACAAAAGGGAAAGTAACATCTAATACATTAGTGATTAATATCCACATGTTACCCACGTGAAATGTGAATTAGTACATACTGTCAGTTTATGAGGCCAATAACTTTGTTTCAGTTTGATTGTGTTAATATTGTTAACACTGCTGGCCTTATACATATTCCAAGTTGTTTCAAAATTAAAATGTAGTTTGTTAATAATGTATATATTGACAATTCACATATCAACATGGGGTGATCCTAAAAATATAATCAACAATATCCATGCTCTCAACAAATTCATATACATCAACATCCAAACCTCAAAATTAAACAAAGAAAACTCCTACACACAACTTGTTAACTGAAACCAGGTTTGTTTTGAGGTGTTAATTCACTCAAATAAATAATGCACATCAACAATACTCACTTGCAACTCTATCAGTGTTAAGATTACCATGTAGTGACGCTTATTCATATCTTCTTGATTATTCATAGATCCACAACAACAAATATATATTAGATGCAGATATTAGGAAAATGCAAATCTGACTGTTTACAAGACAATACCCACTGTAATCTTAATCCTGCATACAATATTATGTCGAAAGCAAAAACATATTAGAATAGTTTTGTCCCATGATGTTTAATTGCAAATTTGACATCTTCACTGACAAGTCACTTTCTCCCTGTTAGTTCACACCTTAAGCAATACAATGTAATTTTCTTTTTACCACCAGAAAATGAGTTTGATGAAAGTGTGACCTTCCAACCATAACCAAACCTTTCCACAGGCTGCTTTTGTCCTCAAATTGTGGCCACAAGGCATCTCCGAAGTTATTGCAGCTTTCCTCATCTCCTACAAGGTACCCACATACAGCTGTGTGAACTGGGACACATGGTCACAGTACTTTGTCCGTTTTTACTGCACGCTGTTGTACTCAAGAATTCAGGTGTTTGCACATATTCATGTGCCCACCATCTGGTCATATACCAACGGATTCGTGTAGTTCTTTTTTATGTACAGGGTTGTGTACTGTACACTAGGGGTTGTCAGACAACACTGAAAGAATCTTTGTATGCAAGTTGACTCCAAGGTTTTTACACTAGGTCACAGTTGGGCTTCGATCCTCGCACCTTATGCCCACTGGATCACTAGCCTGGCTTCGTGTAGGATGTAACTATTTTAGTATAATATCTGGCAATTTACAAGCTTGGCTACTGAACAGGCCATGATATTTAATAATTGTATTTTCCCGATATCAACATCGATATATTTGTTGTGGTTCTATAATTAATCATGGAAATGTGAATAAACAAGTTACCCATGACGCAATGTTAGATGTGAATCTGACCGCGGGCCATCACACTCCACAATACACTTCTGGTGAAGGTGACACTTATCATGCATATGTCCTTTAATGTCGGATCTATCATGCAAATATACACGCACACCACTTGTGTCTACTACTGTGTATCGATACTATCTGTCAGAGGTCACACTCAGGATATCTTTTTTCTTGGTTCACAAGGATGGAGGCAATGAAGATGGAGGCATTATTTTTACCACAATAAATCCCTTTATCTTAGAAATCTGCAGAAAGCTTCAAGATTTTCACAGGGCTAGATATACACAACTACCACAGATTTTTATATGATATTTGTTCCGACTAATTCTGTTTTGCTGAATGGCCCAAGATTTCAAAAAATCCTAACTGCTACTTGTGAACAGTATGGCCCAAAGACATGTTTTTGCAACTGACAAAATTCTTCGAAATCATGTGTTTCTTTGCTCTTTTGACAAAATTCTTCGGAATCACAGTCTCTACAACCTCACACCATGTTAGAACCAAGAGCCAAAAGTCTCCTCTCAGCTCTCTCCTCGATAAGGTTTAGTTCAAGGTGAAGAACACTACCACAGTTTTCAAGCATTTCTTACCCTTAGATCCAGAAAATTTGGTAGACACCACAGTGATCTCCCCTGACTGACTGTCTCCTGAAAAGTCTGGAATCTCACCATCCATATTTCGAAAATTAGGCTGTGATGGATCATAGGATGTCTGAGAAACTGATGAAGAATTATCAGAGTGGCTCCCTCTCCTGGAACAAATGCCGGTGACTCTTGTGTCAGAGATATAAAAATTGATGCAATCAATAAAAATGTACGGAATGATTCAGATAATCACTTAAGATAACACTTTATGAAAGTTTACCAAGTAGACAAAAAAAAGCAGTGAGTGAGTGAGTGAGTTAGGTTTTACGCCGCTGTTTGCAATATTCCAGCAATATCACGGCGGGGGAACACCTGAAATGGGCTTCTCACATTGTACCCATGTGGGGAACTGAACCTGGGCCTTTGGCGTGAAAACCAAACACTTTAACCACTGGGCTACCCCACACCAAGAAGGGATAAATACAAGGTATAACATATGCAAGAAAGAAACCATTAGCATCACAAGATTTTACCTTTACCACAGAGAACAGAGTGATAAACATTATACAGGATGATAGTGCACGCTATTCACATATTGGTGACAACATAAGGCCATTTTGTGGGTACAACCGCGGGACTTAAAGAACAAAAAGTAGGCAAACTAACAAATATGGCAGATACAGTAGCAGAAATAAATATACATAAGGCTGACAAGTGACTCGCAATGAAATATTTGCAAAAAACTGGCACGCATGTAATATCAGAAACAACTGGCAGTGAAATGCATGAATAGCATGGATGATGACTAATGACGATGAAAGGACCCATTTTATGCAGGGAGAATTACCATGTATTAAAAAATTCGGAACGCTTTTCCCGCCAACAACTTTTTGTTTCCCTGAATAGCCTACCGGGTACTTATTTTCTGGGAGTTGTAAACATGCAGATATCCAAGGTTACCTAGACCGTGACGATTGTTCAGAATTATTATCACTCTCATTCACAGGGGGAGCCACCTGAGACGAAATGGGCGGAGGAGGAGGATGAGCAGAGCGGGGAAGCGGAGGTGAAGGAATTGCTTCGATTGGCTGAAATGCTCGACGCTTTTTAGCATCACTTTTCCTGACCGTGCTGTCGCTGCAGATAGAGTATGCAACAAGATACTAAGGAATGTAGATCAATATCCGTCAGTCACCGCCGCTAATTTGTCACATTTCATATTTTTATACACCAGTATTCCCCCAAAATTGATTTTTCAATTTTAAACATTTTTCAGATCTACATTCCTCGTGAACAAATAGAAATGCAAGCAGAAATAAAGTATAGCCACAGAATCTGATCACCACAGAGCTGAAAGTCGTTAAAATGATGAGGCAAGACTGTATGTAGTCCAATGTACGAATAGGACAGAACTCTTTACAATATTGTTACGTGGAAATTTTGACTCTCCTAAATGATGTACTGATTCAGTTCGAATGCATCATTTTAACTCATAATATTTGAAACGAAGTTTTACAACAAACAATACCAAAATAAAGTTGGCAAATACAGCACAAATTGTCTTCAGTATGAAAACATATAATGACATTTCACTGAAATAAAGACATCGTGAAGAGCAAAATGCAATGCACATGTAACTGCACAATACTTCTAAGCCTATTGCATGCAGTAGCTAAACTGTAAGGCTTGTCATTTTCCCAAAGATAAATAGTTTTCTTTTAAAAATTACTTAAATACCAATCCCACAAATGAAAATAATATGTGTCAGCAACTAAGGGAGTTAATTCTGCATTCTACTTGAAAAATGTATAATGCTTCTTTAATATTTTTACCTCCTCAATGATACACAAGACCAATTCTCAAAATGTGTTAGGTGTTTTTTAAAAAGACTGACTGCCTGAGTTTGGTTTCTACCGCTTTAGCAATATTCCAGCAACATCAATGCTGGGGACACCAGAAATGGGCTTCACACATTGTGCCCATGTGGGGATTCGAACTAGGGTCTTCGGCGGACGGTGAGCCAACACACTTAACCATTAGGCTACCCCAATCTTGCCCCTGTTTTTAAAAGAAGGACAAATGTAATCATTATATCAAAATTGAGTATGACCAAACTGTTTCCCAACATATTAGTGTTCCAAGTCAAATAAAACTTCAAATTTCCTATAATAAAAATTGAATCGAATCAAAATAAAATGTTATGTTTTTATTGTTTTAATGACAAGTCTTACAAGAATGTATTACTTTACAGATATATGAAGGTTGGAGTCTAGGTGAGCAGACAAAGAGAGAATTACTATCTCAAGCCACCTATATGAAACACTAGCTCTACTGGGAATTAGTGTTGGGAATTGGTTTAAATTTCATAATTGATGATTGGTTCATTACAACCCATCAATCATCGAAAATAAGTGGTTAGCGCCATTTATTAAATTTTTCTTCTGGTTATGTTTGTTAATACACAAAAATACAGAAAAACATGTAGTTCTTTCGCTTTTTTGCAAATTGCACAAAATGCATTTGCAAATTTCACATCTTTTAAAGGATGACTAGTGTATTAGGAACATGAACTTCATGGCTGCTTTTAAAATAAATTCAATCATGAATTGAAGAGCTTGTAGTGCTAATGAAATGTAACACAAAACCAACCTTGTGAAAAATATCGTTATTGCAAACAAGTATTCCAAAATTGTTTGTGTTCGATTATGAGAAAACTTTGATCAATTGATTGGTCGCTTTTGTCATTGCGGACAAATCTTCGACATTTCACTAATTGACCACCACTACTGGGAATATAGCCATCTTTTACTACAGAAGCTGTGGCTGGTATATTCAAGTTGGAGGTGATAGGAAAACAGGCTCCTGCCTCTGCAGCACCAAGCTCATGAATATCACATGGCTATGATGTAATTAAGATAGAAATATTATACTTGAATTGAAAGAATATTTTAATATGAAACATCATGAATGATACCAGGTCATGCAGAGTTAAAAGCAGGGACATTATTCTTATGTTCCAATGACCTTGGCCTCCAAACAAGATTTTAATAGAACATGGAATTGGAACAACTGAAGCTCTGGGATTAGAATTATACAGCAAATTACCAACCGTCAGTTTACAATGGATCATGGATTAATGTAATGCATTAACAATCAAACGAAGTTAGAGGATTAGATGCATACATCAGAATTAAGCACTCATGTCTTATCTCTTTATAATCATAAAGATATCTAACACTATGAGGATGAGGAAAAACACACGAAAGATTGATTTTAAAAGATTAATAAATTATTGCATTAAGTTTTGAAAGCACATTCTCATGCAGATAGAATAAGACGTAGTTAAAGAAAACTAATCTATCTGTACTACCACTAGTTGAAGGGAGCTCCTGTTCATCCAATATTTGAGGTACTCAAGATGAATGAGGAGTGTGTTATGGGGACTGATGTATCACTGAGCGAGATGGTAGCTATGAGTGATGATGATGATGATGATGATGATGATGATTTGACATGCACCAGATGAGCAGGTGACTGGGAAGAATGCTACTCTACCATAAAGGAACATTAATCAGTATATTATCATCACATTACATGTCAGTCATGGCCAAGCTGTTCTGCTGACAGTGGAATTATTGCTTTAAATATTCGTAACTACAGACCATGGTAATTTTGTAAGGATAATCTTCATCAGTATCATTAATATGAAGATTAAATCCGAATCTGTATTCATGGTTATTTCAGGTAAATTTTTACATTGTTTAAAGGTAGACAGGTCCTTAAAACAAAGATATGAAATGGCCAAGCTTTATTAATGAGTATAAACATTTGAAAGCTGGAATCATGTGTGAAATGATATATATACTATCATAGCTTTAAGTTATAGCTTATATGTGATTCAAATTGGTGACACAGATGCGCCTTGTATTAATATTCCTTCCACCAACACAGCAACAGCATCAACAGCATGTACTGTTATCAAGCAGCAACATTTAAGATGTTTACGTTGGGCGATGCCACCAAATGTGGTACCATGTCAAAATGCTAGTGCATTGACTGACTGAAGAAGCAGTCTTTGAAGCTGAAGACGAGTCAAATTTGTTTTAGTCCAGGAATTGAAGCTTGCAGGAGTAGTATAATTATGTACACAAAATGATACAAAATTCAAATTATTCAGTGCATATTCGATCATCCTCTAGAATAACTCAACATGGCTTGATTACAGTGTGTGAAATATGTGATCTTGAAGAAGCAAACATCAGCTAATTTCTAAACAAAAATACATGTTTATGTCCACCTGTTCTCATTGACCAGATCTAACTCTGACATGGTCCCTTGACACACACTGATTCTGACATGGTCCCTTGACACAGACTGATTCTGACATGGTTCCTTGACACAGATTGATTTTGACATGTTCCCTATACACAGACTGATTTTGACATGGTCCCTTGACACAGACTGATTTTGTCATGTTCCCTATACACAGACTGATTTTGACATGGTCCAGCATGACTCCAGACTGGAATGTAGCTCTCGACGCTACTGTGGTTTTCAAAGACAGTCTTCTTGAATTTCCAAATCAATTATTTCTGTTGGCGTTGTTCGCAGTCTTCTGAGAGTGACCAGGACAATTCACGAACAGACAGCCCAGACACGAGGGCAGTGAGAGCGCTTGAAACTGGATCAAGACAGGTAGGCTGCTTTCTTACATGTGTGTGGCGTATGGTGTAACTTCACTGCTAGACATCCTGTGACATCATAATCATAGTGACATCATCATGTCAAAATCAGTCTGTGTCAAGGGACCATGTCAAAATCAGTCTGTGTGTCAAGGAACCATGTCAAAATCAGTCTGTGTCAAGGGACCATGTCAAAATCAGTCTGTGTCAAGGGACCATGTCAAAATCAGTCTGTGTCAAGGGACCATGTCAAAATCAATCTGTGTCAAGGAACCATGTCAGAATCAGTCTGTGGCAAGGACCATGTCAGAATCAGTCTGTGTCAAGGGACCATGTCAGAGTTAGATCTGGTCAATGAGAACAGGTGGACAATACTGTTGGAAACACAAATTACTTAAACTTTGTACCCTAGTCCTCTTATTAAATGAGTATGTATTTTTGTTTAGAAATTAGCTGATGTTTGCTTCTTCATTATCAAATATTTCACACACTGTAATCAAGCCATGTTGAGTTATTCTAGAGGATGATCAAACATGCACTGAATAATTTGAATTTTTGTATCACTTTGTGTACATAATTATACTACTCCTGCAAGCTTCCAATTCCTGGACAAAAAGAAATTTGACTCGTCTTCATCTTCAAAGTCTGCTTCTTCAGTCAATCAGTGCACTAGCATTTTGACATGGTACCCTATTTCGTGGCATTGCCCAACGTAAAAACATCTTAAATGTCGCTGCTTTGTGAACAATACATGCTGTTGATGCTGTTGATGCTGTTGCTGTGTTGGTGGAAGGAATATTAATACAAGACACATCTGTGTCATCTGAATCACATGTAAGCTATAACATAAAGCTATGATAGTATATATAGCATTTCACACATGATTCCAGGTTTCAAATGTTTATACTCATTAAAAAATGCTTGGCCAATTCATATCTTTTAAGGACCTGTCTACCTTTAAACAATGCAAAAATTTACCTGAAATAACTATGAATACAGATTCGATTTAATCTTCATGAAGATTATCCTTACAAAATTACGATGGTCTGTCGCTACTTAATATTTAAAGCAATAATTCCACTGTCAACAGAACAGCGCGGCCATGACTGACATGTAATGTGATGATAATATACTGATTAATGTTCCTTTATGGTAGAGTAGCATTCTTCCCAGTCACCTGCTCATCTGGTGCATGTCAAATCATCATCATCATCATCATCATCATCATCATCACTCATAGCTACCATCTCACTCAGTGATACATCAGTCCCATAACACACTCCTCATTCATCTTGAGTACCTCAAATATTGGATGAACAGGAGCTCCCTTCAACTAGTGGTAGTACAGATAGATTAGTTTTCTTTAACTACCTCTTATTCTATCTGCATGAGAATGTACTTTCAAAACTTAATGCAATAATTTATTTATCTTTTAAAAATCAATCTTTCATGTTTTTCCTCATCCTCGTAGTGTTAGATATCTTTTATGATTATAAAGAGATAAGACATGAGTGCTTAATTCTGATGTATGCATCTAATCCTCTAACTTCGCTTTGATTGTTAATGCATTACATTAATCCATGATCCATTGTAAAACTGACGGTTGGTAATTTGCTGTATAATTCTAATCCCAGAGCTTCAATTGTTCCAATTCCATGTTCTATTAAAATCTTGTTTGAGGCCAAGGTCATTGAAACATAAGAATAATGTCCCTGCTTTTAACTCTGCATGACCTGGGTATCATTCGTGATGTTTCATATTAAAAATATTCTTTTCAATTCAAGCATAATATTTCTATGTAATTACATCATAGCCACATGTGATATTCATGAGCTTTGGTGCTGCAGCTGCAGGCCTGTTTTCCTATCACCTCCAACTTGAATATACCAGCCACAGCTTCTGTACAAAGATGGCTCTATTCCCAGTAGTGGTGGTCCGATTAATTGAAATAATCGAAAATTGGTAGCAATGACAAAAACCACTCAATCAATCGATCATGTTGTCTCCTAATCTAACACAAACAATTTTGGAACACTTGTTTGCAATAACGATATTTTTCACAAGGTTGGTTTTGTCTGTTACATTTCATTAGCACTACAAGCTCTTCCAATTCATGATTGAATTTATTTTAAAGACTCCATGGAAGTTCATGTTCCTAATACACTAGTCATCCTTAAAAATATGAAATTTGCAAATGCATTTTGTGCAATTTGCAAAAACGAAAAGAACTACATGTTTGTTCTTTATTTTTGTGCATGAACAAACATAACCAGAAAAAATTTAATAAAATGACGCTAACCAATTATTTTCATGATTGATCGGGTTGTAATGAACCAATCATCAATTATGAGATTTAAACCACCCCAACACTAATTCCCAGTAGAGCTTAGTGTTTCATATAGGTGGCAGATAGTAATTCTCTTTGTCTGCTCACCTAGACTCCCAGCCTTCATATATCTGTAAGTAATACATTCTTGTAAGACTTGTCATTAAAACAATAAAACATAACATTTTTATTTTGATTCGATTCAATTTTTATTGTCGGAAATTTGAAGTTTTATTTGACTTGGAACACTAATATGTTGGGAAACAGTTTGGTCATACTCAATTTTGATATAATGATTACATTTGTCACTTCTTTTAAAAAACAGGGGCGGTGGGGTAGCCTAATGGTTAAAGTGTTGGCTCGTCACGAAGACCCGGTTCGAATCCCCACATGGGCACAATGTGTGAAGCCCATTTCTGGTGTCCCCCGCCGTGATGTTGCTGGAATATTGCTAAAAGCGGCGTAGAAACCAAACTCAGGCAGTCAGTCTTTTAAAAAACACCTAACACATTTTGAGAATTGGTCTTGTGTATCATTGAGAGGTAAAAATATTAAAAGAAGAGAAGCATTATACATTTTCAAGTAGAATACAGAATTAACTCCCTTAGTTGCTGACACATATTATTTTCATTTGTGGGATTGGTATTTAAGTAATTTTAAAAGAAAACTATTTATCTTTGGGAAAATGACAAGCCTTACAGTGTTAGCTACCGCATGCAATAGGCTTAGAAGTATTGGTGCAGTTACATGTGCATTGCATTTTGCTCTTACGATGTCTTTATTTCAGTGAAATGTCATTATATGTTTTCATACTGAAGACAATTTGTGCTGTATTTGCCAACTTTATTTTGGTATTGTTTGTTGTAAAACTTCATTTTCAAATATTATGTTAAAATGATGCATTCAACTGAATCAGTACATCATTTAGGAGAGAGTCAAAATTTCCAATGCAACAATATTGTAAAGAGTTCTGTCCTATTCTCCAGACATTGACTACATACAGTCTTGCCTCATCATTTTAACGACTTTTCAGCTCTGTGGGTGATCAGATTCTGTGGCTATACTTTTATTTCTGCTTGCATTTCTATTTGTTCACGAGGAATGTAGATCTGAAAAATGCTTTAAAATTGAAAAAAAATCATTTTGGGGAATACTGGTGTATGAAAATAAAAAATGAAATGTGACAAATTAAGCCGTGTCTCGACCGGATATTGATCTACATTCCTTTAGTATCTGTTACACGCTCTATCTACAGCTTACAGCACAGTCAGGAAAAGTGATGCTAAAAGCTGCCGAGCATTTCAGCCAATCGAAGCAATTCCTTCACCTCCGCTTCCTCGCCTATCCATCCTCCTCCTCCGCCATTTCTCTTCAGGTGGCTCTCCTGTGAATGAGAGTGATAATAATTCTGAACAATCACACGGTTCTAGGTAACCCAACTTGATATCTGCATGTTTACAACTCCCAGAAAATAAGCACCGTAGGCTATTCAGGAAACAAAAGTTGTTGGCAGGAAAACGTTCAATTCTTTAATACATGGTAATTCTCCTCAAATGGGTCCTTTCATCGCCATTAGTCATCATCCATGCTATTCATGCATTTCACTGCCAGTTGTTTCTGATATTACATGCAAGCTTTTTGCAAATATTTCATTGCGAAGTCACTTGTCAGCCTTATGTATATTTATTTCTGCTACTGTATCTGCCATATTTGTTAGTTTGCCTACTTTTTGTTTCTTTAAGTCACGGTTGTACTTTACAAAATGGCCTTATGTTGTCACCAATATGTGAATAGCTGCACTATCATCCTGTATAATGTTTATCACTCTGTTCTCTGTGGTAAAGGTAAAATCTTGTGATGCTAATGGTTTCTTTCTTGCATATGTTATACCTTTGTATTTATCCCTTCTTGATGTGGGTAGCCCAGTGGTTAAAGTGTTTTTTCACGCCAAAGGCCCAGGTTCAGTTCCCCACATGGGTACAATGTGAGAAGCCCATTTCAGGTGTTCCCCCGCCGTGATATTGCTGGAATATTGCAAACAGCGGCGTAAAACCTAACTCACTCACTCACTCACTGCTTTTTTTTGTCTACTTGGTAAACTTTCATAAAGTGTTATCTTAAGTGATTATCTGAATCATTCCGTACATTTTTATTGATTGCATCAATTTTTATATCTCTGACACAAGAGTCACCGGCATTTGTTCCAGGAGAGGGAGCCACTCTGATAATTCTTCATCAGTTTCTCAGACATCCTATGATCCATCACAGCCTAATTTTCGAAATATGGATGGTGAGATTCCAGACTTTTCGGGAGACAGTCAGTCAGGGGAGATCACTGTGGTGTCTACCAAATTTTCTGGATCTAAGGGTAAGAAATGCTTGAAAACTGTGGTAGTGTTCTTCACCTT